TTTTGACTGCGCCTACTGGTGGTCCCCGAATTCTTTGAATTTTCTTTTAGAGATTAGAACGCACTTCAAGTACCTACAAATATTCTAAAAAATTCAAAATTAGTATTAAGAACCCTTTTTGGCAAATTTCGAAACTCTGACACGGCGACATCTCTACCCGCGGCGCGGTTTGCCTCGAGTCGGATTGTTTCAACCGTTTTCGGCTGAATTCGGCTGATTTTATATCAATTCATGTGAGAAAATATGTTAAGGGGGCTCGGTTGGTGAAAAAAATAAAAAAAATCGAAACTTACCGACAGCGGGGTTCTCCAGTGTGGCGGCTCCGCCGGCTCACCTTTACAGTTGGGTATTTTGCTTTGGTCAACCTATAGAGAAAGAAACAGTTATTATGATGGTGAAAGAATTACACAGGATGGGAATTAAGAAGGGCCTCATCAGAGAAAATTTTTACAATTTTCTGCGGTGGCACTGCCAGACTTTGCCCGCAGTTTTTAGCCATTCTGCCAGTACATTTGCTCTGATTTGACCATTGGGGTGTTGAAAATTGAATTTTGAGCAAAGAAGAACTTTTTTTTACCTCTTTTAGCGTTGAGAAGTGGCTCCGGCACAGCGGGGGCGGCGGTCGGCTTCCTTTCCGGCGGCTAGCTCTTCTTCTCCGGCGAGGGTGTCTGGCGGCTGAGGTTAGGATTTGGTGTGAAGAGTGTTATTTATATCTGTCCCCTTTTAATCTGGGTTGTCTATCGCGTTTGATGTAGACGGTCCGATTGCGATTAAATAGAGAGTGAATATGAGCTGTTCATCATAATTTGATATGGAACGTCCGATTGGGTTTAAATAGGAATTGAATATGGATCGTTCATCGCGTTTAAATCTGACCGTCCGATCGCGTCTGGGGAGGGAATGGATCTGAATCGTCCGTGTGTTGGAACGATCTAGACCGTCCGATTACAGGTATGCGGATCGCCCGCGTTACCTTCTGTGTGGCATGGGGTCAGCATCCCTTGCCACGCGGTATGCTTTGGTTTGTCGGGGTTGCTGACTGGGTGTCCTGCGTGGCACAATTTTTTTAAACTGTGTTTTGATCCCGATTTTTGAATTTTCTTTCAAAAATACTCTAAAACTCAAATTTTCACCCCATTTTTTCAAAATTATTTTTAATTTCATCATTTATTTAATTTTTTCTATTTTTACATTAAATAATAAAAAAATTTAATTATATATATTAATTTGATTACAAATTAAATTCCTGATATTACATTTCAATCTAAAAATAAAGAAGAAATAATTAAAAGGAAAATTTTTAAGTTTAATAGATAATGAAATTATAACTAACCTTACTGCACATATAATATTGAATATTATTATAAATTTAGTACCATAAATTAAAATTATTTTTATTAGTTAATTTAATGAATAAATAAACTAAATCTCAATAGAGTATTTTTAAATACCAATAGACACTCTCGTTAATTTTGTAAATATCCACTTGGGTTTAACCTTAGAAAGCATTAATGCTTGTTTACATATATATATATATATATATATAATAGGGTGGTTACATTTGTGCAAAGCATTAAAAAGATGACTGAGAGAAAAAGAGATTTAAAAGAATATATTACAAAATCTG